GAGTTGGCGCACATTCTTGTGACCACGGAAGTGGTGGAGGCGCCTAGAGAGTCATCAGCGGCTATCCCATACGTGATACCATCTCAAGAGACATACTTGATTTCTCTGAGGCATCGCTTGGTGAGGATTTTCTGCGTCAAGATGGTCAGCCACCCAGATCGAGAAACATCTAACCCGCCGCCGTCTGCACAAGGCCGCGCGAGACTGCACGGGGGACGGACGCACCTTGGTACCGATATTCGTAATCTTTTTGATCGCGCAGCCCTCTCCGGTACGCCTGTTCTTTGCAGCGACGACGAGACCGTAGGCGCCCTGGCCGAGTTCCTTGTGGAACGTATAATCTTGATCGACGATGAACGTCTGCTGGAGCGCTCGGAAAGAGTGTCTCTGCGCTTCAAAGGCCATATTTATCGATTAGTATTTCTACCGGGATCCGTTTCGTTTTGCTCGCGTTTAGGGGGAAAGAGGAAGGGGGCAATAAATCGAGAGCGGCGGGGTGGCAGTGTTTCCCCAGTTGGCTCTCGCTCTCTCTGCTCTGTGCGGTCGTGGTCAATGTACCGCAGAGTATCCCAACGATGGTTCTTTCTCGTTGAACCCTTTTTACTCGTTACCGCTTTCTTGCTTCAAACCTGTATTTCCCTTTCGCTTCCTATTGTCAAGGTACGTTGCCGTCATCCTTGGCATTGGCCTGCGCGAGTCTGTTGTGCTAATGTCGCCTCTAGTCCATCTATTTGTTCTCTATCCATATTCAAACATCTGCTGCTGTGGTCAACGAGGGCGAAATCCGCATTGGGCTCTGGGGTTTCTGTTTCCTCACGTGCGTCCACCACACATGCGATACATATACACCATCTCTGACACACAAATAGCGAATACACAGAAGATGTGTTGACAGAAGGCACTTGTAGCCCTATTCGAGTGGGATACACCATCCCCGAAGCAGTGATATCCCAAATCGGTCTCTCCCCCTATCTCTATGACCTCTTCTCCGACGTTCTCTCGGCCTTTCTCATCGTCCACCCTGTAGTGTACGTCCACCAAAACCCTTCATATTCTATCACTGACACAAAAACCGTTCACAGAGCCACGCTCACACTCATCACAATCGTCACCTCCCTCTTCCCCTTTATCCGCGCAACCCGCATCCTCTGTCTCATCCTCAACATCATCTCTGCAATCCTCAGCACGATAGTAGCCGCCATCGACCTCTCCATCATCCTCATCGCCCGCAACAAACTCGCGGCGCTCGAATCCGCGCCCAACAACCCAGCAGCCTCTCTCGGTCTCGACGTCGCCATCGGATTCGGACCCGCGCCGTGGATGGGCCTCTTGGCCGTCTTCGCACTCTGGTTGGCCGTCGTGACGGGTAGCATTTTATTGTGCTCGTGTTGTGGGTATTGTACGTGGGACGCACGAGCGGTGGACGTTGTTTTGGCAGAGGAAGAAGGGTTGGTGGAGGGGATGGATGAGGATGGAGAGGATGTGTTTAGGGGGAATGCGGAGAGGTCGATGGCGGCTACTATCGTGCTGAGGATTGCAGAGATGATGTTGAGGATGA